TGAATTTTTGATCATATTCTTACAGTTATCATGGTATACATCAATACTATACTACAAACTTTTTTAAAATTACAATTCTAACATAATTTAAAATAATTGACCTTAAATAAAAGGAATTTTTTTATATATAATTTGTTAAATTTTAGCATTTAAAATTTTTAATCTGTTTAAATATGTAATTCTGTTGCAATGATCAAACTGTTAAATTATGATTGTCTTCAAGAAATTATTTAATGAAGTAAAACTATAAAACTGATTTGGAAAATAGAAAACTGAAATAAAATTATATAAGAAAAATGAAATATAAGAATGAATTAAATGAAAACTTAACAGTAGAAAGAAGTAGATGCATATGCTAATATATTTGCAAATAATGTATGATGGATAAAAATATATAATCTGCTATAGAACTTACAATAATATTAAGAGAAAAACTATCTTTCTTGAAAATACCACCAAGCAGATACAACATTCTGCCATCTGTTGCTTAGTCAACAAGGATAAGCTGTGATATCATCAACACATATGTGTATGCTTGTGAATGTAGTAAAAGTTCTACAATCATCATAAAATTACTTTTATACATATATAACAACATTCGTTATTAATTGAGTCTTAAGTTTTCTAAAATGAGATTTTATTTCAAAAAATTTTGTTTTGGCATTTCATTTATACAAAGTGTATAAGACATTTTTGTACAAAAATTAAAGCTGTCAAGGCTGTTCTCTTGGAGGATTTGGGGATTAAACCATCATTTGAAAAGAATTAAAAAATTTAAAAAAATAATAATAATACAAAAAAAAGCTTGTAACACACACATTGTAAAAATTAATAAACTACATTACGAAAAATATAATGGTTTTTGAACTCCACCCTTTTCAAAATCTCATACACAATCTAAAGACAGTTCAATTTAAGAAATTCTTTAAAATTTAAAGAATTCATTTTAATTCATGTTTAATGAATTAAAATGAATTCTTATATTATTACATTTTTATGTCATATTTCCTTGATTCTAAAATGCATTTTTTTACTCATTACTATTTATCTGACAGAAAAAAATCTTACATTTTTGCAGTTCTAAACAATAATCAACAATTATGAATAGATGGCATAATATAGCCAGAAATGCAAATTTGTATTTTAGAATAAGTTGAAAAATAAACTACACCGATATAAATCCAGCAACATTTAATAAATTTGATTATATATTGTATTTTAAAATTTATATATTTTATAAAAATATATAAATTTGATTATATATTGTATTTTAGAACACACTGCTTAATATATCACTTCAAGTAAGCTTTACTGGTAACAAATAATTAATTTAAACTTCGTTTGCAATGTGTGTAAAAATGTTTGAGACAACATTATAATGCCACATTAATACAAATAATTATTATACATGCAAAAAAGCATAAAAATAGAGGTGTGGGACAGCACCTGCTTCATGACATTTTTCCTTTTTTGTAAATTATTTACCAAAACTTAATAAAATGTATTATTTTAAAAGCTTATTATATATTTTAATTTGATAAAAATACATAATCATATACAGAAATGATATAACTGCATTATTTTGAAATATGTCAATTTTCAAAAGTTCTTCAATTTTAATTTAGTCAAATAATTTAAATTTTTTGGAATTTTTATATAATAAAGTTTGAATGCTATTATTACAAGTATAACAATATTTTTCAATTTAAAATAATGGGTTGAAAACTACAAAAATCTACATTTTGTTAATGAATTTATTTCCCATGATGCTAGTAAATGGCAAATTATAAAGTTTAATATATTTATATTAAAATACAAAACAGTAATAATCATAATTAAAATATAGATATGAAATATTTGAGTCATTTTCACAAATACTACATGTTTTATTTATTGTATTAATTTCTTTAATCAGAGACAAATTAAATTTACTAATTCTTAATTTACTGCAGTAATAAGTAAACAAAAGAAACTTGAATAAATCAGAGAAAGTATAGTCATAGTAGCAGTAAGTAATAGGGATAATCTGGCACCTGAACTCCATGAATTCCAATATGCATGCCAGTCTGTGGTCCCAACATATGGAGAGAAGCAGAGGAATGAAACATCAGAAAAAAATTAGATGATAGCAATGAGAAGAAAGTTTCATATATAATTTTTTCATTTCGTCCATCAGCATCTTACAGAAAAGTAAAGAACTAATCACAGGTAAAAGTTTATATATTAATATAAATATTTTTATATATTTTCTAGTGTATAACTCCATTTTTCCATTGTATTAAGAAGAAAAATAATTATAAATTTATTAGTATATATAAGTATAATAATATTTAAAACAAATCAAACAAATTTGAATCTCTTTTTACAAATTCAAATTACTTACTACTAAAATTTGAGGGAAAGTCAATTTTTAGTTCATATGTTTTGTTTGAATAATTGCTTACTTATAATAGGCTAACAATTTTCTCAAATATAATTTTTAATAATTTAAAAAGATAGTTATATAAAAATATTGCCATTTTTAAACAATATTCTTGTGTTTTAGGTATTACATTGAAATTACTAGTACAGCATGGTCTGATCTTTATATATCTTTACTCATTAAAAATGAAATCTTAGCTCAATAATTTACAAACTATTCATTTTAATACTTTAAAGACTTAAGAAAGGAAAATAATTGTTATAATAATACCCAAAAATTCATATAATTTTTTAAACTTATTTATAAACATTGCCAAATTATAACAGATAATTCAACTGTATAAATTATACTCAAAATGTGGACATTTTATAAAAATTATAGTAATAAATTCTGAACTTAAATATTTAAGTTTTAAAATTTTTAAATCATACAAATTTTTAATAAATAAAGATCAATAATTAACTATAAGACAGGATTTATGTTAACCATTATTACCTAAAAAATTATTATTTTAACATTTTGCATTTACCTAAAGTAAGAATTTGATATTTAAATAGAAATCTTCAATATATTAATTAACTAAAGTATTTGATACACCAGCTTAGTTTAAGTTTGCACTCAACTGATTACTTACCTTAAGGGGGAGTGTCTCGACTGTCGAAGGTGCTGGCGCGATAACCTCAAGAGAAGAGTTGATACAACATTGTGTGATAATGATTCGCTCTTGGAGGAAAATATTACCTCAATTTAAGTGGAAGTATAACAAATGTCTTTCTCTGCTAGTAATATTATACCTATTGCTTATTTCTGGTATAGAACCTAACCCAGGACCTTTGCCTAGATCTCCTCAACGTGGCGGCCACACAGATATGCAAAAGAAGGGGCGTGGGAGGCCGCGCAGTGTCATTCCTAAAGCTACAGAAAAAATAAGAATATCTGGAACTAATTCCAGTCAAGAAATTCTGCCTGAAGAACAGGAGTATGATAGAGAGGAATTAAACGATGGGAGAACTCCAAAAATACAAGACTACTTTCATACTGTACAAGGAGCAGACACTCCAACAGCAGAAGAACAAAAATATTCGCTGAAATCCATATACGATTTGATTCAAGAAAAATTCAATCAATTAAACACCGAGTTACAAAATATCAAATCAGAAGTTAATTATCTGAAAGAAGAAAACAGAGTTTACCAATTGGAATCCAAAAGAGTAGCACAAGAATTGGAAGAAATGGATTCAATAATTAAGGATAATTCCCACACAAAAGGTGAGCTAGAATTTGAAATAGATCAATTATTAAATGAAAAAACGAACAAAAATATAGTAATTATTAATTTTCCGTTCGAAACTCCGGAATATCTAAAAGAAATCGAACAATTTTTATCAAGAGAACTAGGGATAACAAATAGTTCAATAGATAGTATAATTAAACTAACTAATAATGAATACAAGCCTATGGTGAAAATAGCTCTATCCTCAACATATGACAGAAATTTAATACTTAAAGAATTCTGGTCTAAGAGAGCAAAAATCAATTTAGA